AAAGATTGAGTTTTGGGTCACACAACAAATGGCAGGATTAAATTTTTCGGGAACCATGTCAACTGGAAAATGTGGTCCTACTAAGAAGCTTTACTGCACTGAGACCTTACTAATTTTATTTAAAAATGTGTTGAGAATCCCCGATGTGCTTTGTGCAGCCAAGTGCTCACGGCGGAGTATGAGACTCGGTAGATTGAAAGACCACTTTGAATGAAGTCATTCTCAATTCATGGGAAAATATATTACGTTCTTTAAACGTAAAGAAGCTGTACTGAAAGCTTCGCACATGAGTACATCGAGCTACTTTTTTCAGTCAACTGAAGCTGGCCTTGAAGCTTCGTATCACATTGCTATTCCTATCACCAAAAGCAAGAAACCTCATATATCCGGAGAGGATTTTATCAAACCTTGAATACTGGATGCGGTGAAGCTCGTTCTTCGAGAACAACATGAGGGATAGATAAGTATAATGTCTCTTTCTGATAGGACCGTCAAAAGATATATCGAGGAACAAGGGACCGAAGGTAAACAATTGTTTTCGATGAATCCATCGTCAGACCTTTACAATTATATTGGTAAAGAGCAATGGAAGTAACAGTGGTTTCGATCAGTTCAAATGAAATTGGATCATGTGCCAATCAGAGGCATAAACCAGCAATAAACGTAAACGATAAGCGCGAACTAGGGCAAAGATGTAGTAAAATGACTGCTTCTGGCCTCCGAATCGTCCAGTTTATCTGGCCAGGGTAACTTAAGAGCTTCGATCAGTTTCTTTTGTGAACACAAAAGCGGTTGATACAACCGAATACTGATCGCCTCAGCTGTAGCGAGGGTGCGGAGGCGCAGGCCTTTCGATTGGATTAGCGGAACCTTGCAGAGTATTCGAAAGGCGCGGACTGGATCAACTTCATGCCCACTATCAACTAGATGAGCAATAACAGAGCTAGCTATAGCCCCGGTACCGCGTCGACGCAACCAGCGTGGAAGGTGCTCATTAATGCGCTTTGACAACTGCCGTGCCGTTCGACCGATGTAAGTAGCTCCACAGGCGCACTCGAACTGATAAATGACCATAGAAGCGGTCAGCATCGGCACTTTGCTCTTTACCCATATGATTGTAAAGGTCTGACGTTGAATTCATCGAAAACAATTGTTTACCTTCGGTCCCTTGTTCTTGATGATTAAATGGGAATATATCGTGGACTCGAGCAAGAATATTTTGGACACGGTGCTCAATGTAGTCACGTCAAGGCCTTTCTTCGCATCACGGTTAGATGAGTCAACTGATGTTGCATCTTGTTGCGAAAAACTTGTCTATATTCGGTACATCAAAGGCGACGGCTTCAAAAAAGAGTTCTTGTGCTCATAATCACTGAGCACCGCTGCACGTGGCGATGTCCTTCGAATAATGAAAATTTTTTCGGGAAATAGGAGCTGCAGTGGTCGAAATTGGCGGGTGTCTACAAACGGAGCACCATGTTTGGTGTGGGTTCCGGATTCCAAACATTAGTCAGACAAGTTGCTCCCTACGCTACCTTTAGCTACTACCTTATACAACGGTATGAGAAAGCAGTGAAAACCCTCCAACATGCTTTAATGGACTAATTTACGCAGGTAATGAAAATTGTAAATCTCATTCGCGCTACAGCGACAAATGCGAGTTTTCAAAGAGTTGTCAAATGAGTTTGGAGGCAAATTCGCCGTGATGTTATTCCACACAGAAGTTTTCAAGGGACAAGGTATTGTACTTAGTGCTCGAGCTTCAAGCAATAATTGATGTGTTTCAATACAAAATTGTGCAAAATAGGCCTTTTCTTTATTTGAATGATCAGAACTAATTAAAAGGGGTTATCATTTTCTTTTATTTAAAGCAAAAATGCAATACTTATTAGGCAATGAGTTCTTTAAACTAAAGATTCTGGGAGGCAGTTGTTTATAGTAAACCCGCTTTGTAGGTAACAGCATCAAAAAGGTTGAGAACCACTGGTCTACGGTGATCTGTCGGATAGGTTTCCGACGGCAAGTGGCATTCGTCAAGGTTGTCCGATTGACCGATTTTTGTTCAATTTTGTCGTGGACTCCGTCATGGAGTGTTCCCTTACGGAGCCTCACAATGCAGACGTTGAAGTGATGCCTAGTGAAACGTTAGTTGATCTTGATTATGTGGACGACATCTTGCTGTTTATCAATGTTGGGCCGTCGAAATAAACACGGAATAGGCTCTCTTGAATGGTCCCGTTACTTGGCATGCGCTTCGCACCCTCAGGGTGCAGTACTGCTGCAGGACCACCATCCACTTGATGTCCCCTTAATAGGGAAGAACTCAAGGTAGTCGATCAATTCGCGTACCTTGGCAGCTGCATCGACAATGATGGGCGCATAGGGAGGGGAGTCATTTCACATATTGCAAAAGCCAGAACTGACTTTTGGAATCTGCGATATCTTTGGCGGCAGAAAAGGGTTTCCCTTCCTTTTGAAATACCGTATGTACAGGCACACAGTGAGGGCCGTCCCACTCTATGGAAGTAAGGCTTGGCCTCTGTGGGTCTGAGGCGCCTTCAAGTCTTTGATCATCGTTGTCTGCGGAGCACTGCTGGTGTCGAGTGGCACCGACGTATCCACAACGATGATGTGCGTAGCGAGTACTAGACAGTGATAACCAAGCTACTTGCTTAGCACAACAGATTGCACTGAATAAGTTGCTTCGGCTTGGGCATGTACTACGTATGCCCGGTCACCGCTTACCTAGGAGGGCCTTGATTTGTCTGTCAGATGTAGGGTGGCGCAAGGCTCGAGGTGGACAGAAGTGGACTTGGCGTCAAGAAATGAACTCACTGACGACCAACCCAAGTGCTGTCGGTCCGTCTCGCCTACCAGGCTGGAGTCCACGTGACCCGCCTTGTGCTTGGCTCGAGACTTTTCAGGACATGACTCGCAGTCGACACCATTGACGAGTCTGCTGCCGTCTCCTAATCGGACTGCCTGTTTCAAATGTGTTTGATGCTGAGTTATATGCGGGGTAATGGCTGATTATGACGCGGGGCATTGAAATTCTCAAAGAAGCTGTCCTGCCGATGCCGCCTTATCTTTGCACTATAGTCAACTGTGACAGTATGTTGTTGACAAGGTGTAGGCGACTTGACCCCGAGTTTTTGTTTAGGGCATTAAGGTTTTACCGCAGGTCCCCTTCTCTCCCTCTTATTAATCTTCGTTCCATCGGTCATCATGATTGTCTGACAACGAAGCCTCAGTTCAAATGCCTGATGTAATGCTGCTGCTGTTGTTGATGATGGTGATGATCATACTCCAGTAACCTGCTGGATCTTGGCAATGAAAATAGTAACGCCTAAGGTGGTTGCATCTGTTGTACGCTATGTATCGCCCTTTTTATCCGCTTCTTTTCTCCGCTCCATTCGGAATGTCATCCATCATCCTTTCTGAAAGTCCCCCTTGGTTCTGCCTACCCCAGATTTTGCATGTGGCAAAATTCCCTAGTTTTTTGGAACTTGTTTCAATTCCACCCATCTTCTATCGAAGGGCCTGATATCACTGACCACCCAGTTTGCTAGCGTTGGCTTCTTTTTTTCATCCCAGGTTTTGGATCAGTATGACTTAAATAATTCTATCCGGGCTGGATACTAATTATTTGTTGGTTTATATCTGGCTATTTCTCTTTTATTAAACTTGTACTAGGGAACGTTGGCGCACAGAATGGTTTGAGGATCGTAGTTTCACTCGATTCTCAGTGGTACGGGGGCTTAGCGCCTTGGTCAGCTAGCGAGAAGGGGCTTCCTCTTTGATGTGGCTTCTTTCTGCTTCGCATCCTGGAAATTCGTGATGTTGTTCATCTTCATTACAAACTAGATACTTGCAGGAATTCTCGGTGTCAGTTTGCTCTTGTCGCTGCATATTACTGTTCGGAATTTGCAATGAAGTTGGCTGGTTCGCTTGATTGTCGCGACGTCAGCCCACCGGCGCCGGCTGCTATCCTTAGCTCATTAACTGATGGCGTTGGTAATTTATTGTTCTCTCTTAACCGTAGCATTATTAATGTAAGCGATTGACACGATGAACTACAGCCCGGTCACAGTTTTCATTGTGCTTTTGCTCCCACATCCTGACTGTTAGCCAACATGATTATACGCCCACTCATCAGCTATGACTGCTCAGCTTTGTACAAATGCACTGTTGATTTCAAAACCTGCTTATGCAAAAAGAGTTGTGAGCGCTTGCTGTGATGGTGTTTCTCTGTTTTTTTAGAACGCGTGATTGTAATGTTGCTACCTTAGCTTGTGCCACGTTGTTTCCCTTCCTTATTTCGGCCGATGTGACAAATGAACGCAGACTTAATTCTAGGCAACCGAGGCCTCCACTGTGCCTTTTGCTGTTGGAGGTGTTCCGTAGTGTTTACTGGCGCCGCAGGCTCATTGTTTACATGGAATCGCGTTTTTAATTTACACTAGAACTTGTGTTCTCCGATTGCAGCTGTGGTCTATGTTTTTCGCTCGTTACAAGTTGAATGGATTGTGTGCAAGCAGCAGTTTCATCCCTGCGATCCGTCATTAATTAACAAATTCATCAATGAATATACTCACAACAGTTCATTCGGATACAACGTTTATCGATGTGCTGAGAGGTCAAGAATGTTTCGCGGCTGCGGCTTGCGCACCATTGACCTCTAAGGTTCGTGTTGCTCTAAGGACAAAAGAAAACTTCCACTGTCTGAGAAGGGACTCTGAAAGGTGTATTCATGGTTTGCGGACAAGCGGAGATGGGGATTAGGGGTGGCAGAGACCGTCATGCGCGCTGACGCGGACGGACGCGAAAATCGACGAAAGGCATGCGGTAAAATATCATCGCCCATCTCGATAAATTGTCTTTCTTTTGGCAACAGCTTCATCTTGGATGGGTTCACAAAGTTTCTGCTGCTAGGGCGTAACCGAATCAGCTGACTGAAAGGTATTACGTTTGAAATTCTTTCATATAAGCTTCCGAAATAGTTAGGGGAGCAGTAGCAATTCCGTCGGCTTCGTGCTAAGACAGCGGTCCAGCCGATCTTGCCTCCGAAGCCTGTAGGCGTTCACCTGAGACGCAGGAATGACGGTTTTTGTAAGCTTGCTAACATTTTCCTGCCGGATGTCGAACCATCGAGAGCTGAGCCAGAAATCCACGTGACCACGTTTTCTGCAAACACGACATACAAATTCATGGAGTAATTTCGAGTAATCGATGGTTCGGAATCATGATAATTAACAAAAGTTCCATCCACTCTTTGGACTGTTCTAAGTGTATGTAGGGCTCTCAATTACTAACTCATAATACTTCAGGAAATGCAATGGCATCCGCACTTTTACTGGCGATTAGTATATGCCTAAGTCTACCGATGAAGCCTAAACTGGTCTCGAAGTTTCTCGGGAAAACCACAGCTCATATCCACTGGTATCGTCCGACTGATTTACTTCTAGGTTGTAATGATTCCAATAGTCTGGTTCCCTATTACCCCTGATCTGTGTTTATCGTTTGAAGTACACTGTAACATGCCTTGTTCGCATTCCACCTGATCCAGCGATGCATTTTGTTGCTTATCGACCGCACAGCTTGATTCACTCTTCCTCTGAGCTGTATGCAATACATTTTTGCGCCCATTCGAAACTCAGGTAGCCTTACCGTGTTTAGGCCCCAACGCCCACTCTGCTAACCCTCGGACACTCAGAACCATCGACGAACGAGGCGAACTACACATATCATACTTTTATCTCGTGCTTTTGACAGTGGCTCTCATCGTTTGTTTCGCGTGTACATACTGTTGTCATCTAACTTTAAACATTTTCCTTAAACAATCCGGAGTCTGGAACCACGCTATTATGGAGTCAATTGGCTTATTTCTGCCATTAATACTTCATTTATGTATTGTTATCAAGATACTCGTTTAACTTACCTTGGATGTGGTTGCAGACAGTTATAGACGAACTTCTTGGCCGGTTTACTGAACCATTTGAGCTTCTTGAATTCTATCGGGTGTTTGATATTCTCAGTGGTTGTCTCAGCTGATCCCGTTGCATCTTCTTGAGTGGTCGCTTCCAGTTTTGGGCACTCACCTGTCATCCTATGTAATGGATTAATTGAAAATGGGGTCATCATTTAAATCTAACGCATTTATCTGTCGCACTGTCCAATTACCCACAATTAAAGTGAAAATGCCTCTCCTATCAACCTCCACACAGTCTTCCGCATCCTTTCTCCTATTGTTACACGCAAATTGGTTATTCTCACAATCCTACGGAATCATCAAACAAAACTGTCATAAAAACCCGTGGTCACTTTCTGTAAGTTACCATACTTGTTTTAATGGAGACTCGTCACTATTTTACATCCTGATTGTGGCAATTGGTGCCAGTAGCAAGATTTCAACAAAATTAGGGCCGTGTTTATAGCAGCATGCGCTCGAAAGTAACATGGGAACTCGAATAAGCGGCTGTCTTCCTTGTCCCTGATAATACGTACGAGTACATACAGCATCGTAGACACACCCATAAGCCCATTGAATCGCCATCATTAGTGCCCAACTTCTGTCTTGCCTTCCTTCAGCCTCACAGGAGCTCCTGGTGGATGCGCTCATATCCTGAACAACATAAAGATAATTTCCCTCATAATTCCTTCTCATTCGAATGGCTTATCAACACATCAATCCACTGTGAAAGCTGGTTAGTACACACTTTAATAGCGTGTTCCACCGGGTAACTACTATGCTGATGAGCCCAACGAGTCCGTGGTTAATTCGGTTAAATGGTTTCCTTAAACCCTGATTTTCAACCATTCCACTTGGAAGGATGTGGAATCCATTACTGCTCACCGATCATGCTCCTTGACACTAAATTCGAAAATTTGCTACCGTTTAACCCAGGGGTTTATCTAAAAACCGCCTCTCGTCTGTTCACTTATCTGGGTCACTAACTACTGCTTGAGCGGTGCCCTCCGTTGGACATCACACGTAGTGAAATCATCGCTGTGAACAAGACAATCGAGCGGAAACTCACAGAAGATAAACGAATGCGCCCAGGCTCCACAGGTCAGAGTATGTTGTGGATGCTCCTCCTTGGATCAACTCTGGAGCTGTAAACAGAAAGAATAGTAATCACAACTGGTGGTAAAAATGTCTTCTATTTCACTCCAAGCACGTTAAAACAATCACGCTTTTGTTTGAGTGCTTTCTCGTTGAATACTGTTGGATACTGTTATTCGTTTAATTTGAGTGGCACACGTGAAGAATGGACGCAAGCGGTCTTGTACATCATAGCGATTTCACCTATCCCTCATCGTTTAATGCCCCTGTATTTTTCCCCACGCTAGTCATCAACATTTTTTCTACCCGAGTCCAGCCACAGTATCATGAATGTCGTACCTTTGAAGCTAAACAGCGACGGTGTCATTACTCTATCCATCTTTTGTTCGAACTATTGATGAACCAAGATTTTACTTCCGTTCGACGCCCATTCGTCAATGTTCATTAGTGCCTCTCCTGACTACGTTGTTTCCCATGGTTCTAGCTTGGTTATTAACCCTGGTGCTTAATGAGATGATCGACTGATGTACAGTGTAACAGCACTGAACAAATTTGGGTTCGTTATCACCCATCCCCGTAAGATTGGTTCCAAATCATCCGATTTCCTGCAGGATGCAGGCTTGCGGTCCAGCCGGGTATACCGTCTGTGCGACCGATTCGGAGGCGAAATCGTCGAATCCTATCTGATTGATGAAACTGCGGAGTTTACTTCGCTTGGGCAAGGATACTGGTGAATCCCATACTACTCCAATATCACTTAATCGCTCGACTTGGCTATGACCTATACGGTGGTATTGGAGATGTGTCTGAACTGGACTGTGTCTCATTTGCTATCTTGACAACTACGCAACATTCAGCTACTAGATCAGAGGTATAGATTTGTGGCCACTGAACTGAGATATTCGCAGTGGGTCTTCTAATCTCAGTCGCATCTGTCATTGTAAATCAGCAGCATTTTGGCTTGGCGGTAACATTTGTGCCGGCAAATCACAACGTTCCCCATTTGATTCCCAGCTCGCTGTTTCTGCCTGTACAGTCCGAGGATGAAACCCGTCGTGAAGTGTAATATTTCGAGTGAGTACAACCGAAACTAACTTCACTTCGGATGCGGTCCGAGTGGTCGTGGTAAGTTTATTTCAAAGGCGATCATGCTCCAACTTGGGCTTGCTTGTCGCAATTCAAACACATGGCACGTGCTTTGAGACTCAACTATTGGTTACCCATATTCGAAGCATATCGATCGCGAAGAATACTCCTTTTTGCCATTCACCTCAGACAACTACAATTACAAGATTAAGCGAATTGTGACCGTCCAGCGATATCTTAGGATGCAGTTGGTCAACAATAGCACGTCACAGACATCAGTTGCGCTAGTGTTGTCGTGCCGTTTCATCTGTTGCCTAATCTCCACTATATAAGAAACTCAAAGCAGCGTATGTGAAACCCAACCAATGGTTCATTTTTGTTTTTTTCTTGTGCTTGTTTTCTTCCTTTTTGCCACACGTCTGTATACGGACTTGTGATTATTCGCGGTATATATATATATATATATATATATATATATATATATATATATATATATATATATATATATATATATATATGATTGGCGGCATCCGGTTTCGGATTTGCCTGTCACTGTGGCCAGCCACAGGACGTCTGCACCTACAGAGGGACCATGGATCACTTGCGCTGCACCACCCACAGCTCCATCCACACACCCCATATCCAGTGTAAACCCGAAGGAATAAGACCGGGAGGCATGCGGATAGGAGCCACGTTTCATCAACGGAGCCGATACACACTCCTTCACAGGCACGCTGTATTTGGAGAATCAAGTACCGTACGTTTGAGAAGAGTCTTTCGTTTTTGCTCAGTCGCTACGCTGGTCAGGGGTAGATTGGAACGCACTAATTTGCCGACCCACCAATGGCATGTAAGTCTACTGTATTTACTCACCCACGCATGTCTGGGGGTGTGAACACGACGTGAGGACGCATATCGGTGCATGTGTCCTTGAAATATGTTAATGACCCTCGGGAGTTCGACACCGGTCAGTTCAGATTGGGTCGATGCCGACGTTTTTGGCTGGTGGTTTGCAACATCTCGACAGCAGTGCATAATGCACTGGCTACCGTGTTCAAATGTTGGTGGCGCTTCGACAGTTGCTTAATGTTATCCCAGCAAATGATAAAAGGGTTAGTGACAACACTGTTGTAGACTGAATGTTACCTTCACATAAACCACCTTAGCAAAATAAGAATTCGTAACAATTAGACGGTGAAAATATGAGATGCTACTTCTGCATAAATGAGTCCGGAACAATGTCTACCAGCTACTGGAGGCTCATCGGATCTATTTGCAAGTGCGCGGCCACCTAAGGAGTTAATTCCAGCAGATTACAGAAATAAAAAGAAAGCTGAGTGCAGTGGTTTTTGAACAGATTTTATCAAATCTCATTCTATTCCATCAGCTTGGACAATTAAATCAAAATCAGTTTCGCAATGAACACGAGGAGGAATTTTACAGTATTGGTATGGTAAAAGAATCCTAGAAGTAGATAAAGAAGCGTTTCGGTCAAATCTAATCACCCATTTTAGAAAGAAAGGTGATGGAAGATTCCAGCGCGTACGATGCATTTATTTGATGAAACCAGTCTGTTTACGACTGAATATTCAAGCGTTGTTGGTGTATTAAGCATTTTATTGACTTGACTTGAGTTCCCCGCCTTGGCAGACTTGAATGTTTAAATATTCCTTATCGCCCAGATACGTATCCGGCCAATCTGGAAAACCTTAATATGCCATCCTACTAGCATTTTTGGTATTTTAAGTATCCATGGAAACTGTGTAAATAGATCACTGACGATTCACGCTCAACCGTTTGTTCCACAATCATGACACATTCAGTAGTTGCGAATGACTTAACAAGCGTAAAAGTATTGCCCATTAGTTAATTTCCGGTGGCCGGTGGGACTCTCTGGGACTCGTTTAACTTCCGATATAATTCCACGGGATGTACAGCTGAGCGGCTAATCGTACTCCCACAACGACAGAACAACAACAGATCATGGTGCCGTGCTGGTATAGATTTGTTTTCCTATTTCGTTAGACTGCTGCTACCAAAAGAAATGCGGATGTTCTACGTGTGCCCTAAACCTCCATCCACCTGAGTGTTGGCGAAATGTGGGTGGGTGAGATTTACTGTTTTATGTGAAGCTACCGTTTGCAATAGTTACAAAATACCCAAGACAAAATGAACCGTAATCGCTTTCAGCTCATACGTGCTTTTGACACGTCAAAGAAATTGACCAGAGGTTCAAATTCCCTACAGGCTTTGTGAACTGGAAGCAGAGAGTGCGGAGATGATACCTGAGATTGGGGCAGCACTACACGTCTGCTGGTGGACTCGCACCAAACCGCAATCAGATCCCTCATGTATGAATTTGAAGTTGACGAGCTGCTAACAACTTGTCATGGAGTGTGAGGCATGAATTCAGTAATAGCTAGTGAACATCCAGTGGCCCTAGCTTGGCGAAAGCTGCTGCTGTCACACTCGCTTCCGTAGCAGTCATCCTAGGAATACTGTAACTTGGCTTCCATGAACTTACCTGAGCTACAAATCAAGTGGACTGGTCACTACAGCAAGATTCATCTATCGAAGCAATATAGGCAATCCTAAAGGAGTATGGAAAATGATTGTGCGCAAGATCCGTACCCCTCAATTATCAGATGATTGCACTAATGAAACTAAAATGGTTCGACAAGTATATTTTATTTGATTAGACATTGACGTGTACTAAGGAATAAATTCAGTCCGATGGGTTCTGCCGCCGATTACGTGGTGTCATAATCATGGCTGATTTCACGCAACAGCACCAGTGTTCAAAAATCCCAGCCACAACGAAGACGACCCACAAGAGGATCATTCATTAAGTGACGCTGCACTTGAGGAGTACAGATGACGGAGCCATGTTGTTAGCAGCTCGTCAACTTCAAATTCATACATACAAATTCATACATTCAAAGCCTCCGGGTGGAGTCCTTCAAGCAAACCACCAAATCACCCACTGCCTTGTGGGTCAGGCTCTTGAGCCAAAGGCTTCGGGTGGAGTCCCTCAAGCAAACCTCCGAAGCACAACTGCCACATCGCGTGCGGTTGCCCACCAATGCAATCAGGTGCCTGCGCGCAAAGCACTCCGCATCGGGTGCTGGAACGTGCGCACACTACTGGACCGGAACTCCAGCGAGCGTCCCGAGCGACGCACTGCACTGGTCGCGATGTAACTGGCGCGCTACCACATTGATATTGCGGCGCTCAGTGAGACGGCTCGCTGAGCAAGGTAAGTTGCATAAAGCAGGTGCTGGCTACACATTCTACTGGGTAGCCAACGCCGCCTCAGCACCACGTGAACATGGGGTCGGATTTGCAATATCCGATTGACTCCATGGCCTGCTGGTGGGTGAACCAACAGGCATCAGCGCGCAACTGATGACTGTTCGCCTACGACTCGGAAGAGGTAAGTTTGCCACCTTTATAAGCACCTTCGGTCCGACCATGTGTTATCCTGATGACACGCGTGATCAATTCTACACTGAGCTATCCTCCGTGATACGGTCTGTGCCAAGGAGCGACCGACTATTTCTGCTGGGTGATTTTAACGCGCGCGTTGGGCGGGATGCATCGGTGTGGACAGATGTTATCGGTGCGCATGGCATTGGTTCAGCGAATGTGAACAGTGACAGGCTGCTCTCACTGTGTGCCACTTACGGTCTGACGATCACGAACACTCGGTTTGCACCGAGTGCGAGTGATATAGCAACTTGGACGCACCCACGGAGTGGTCACGCTCACCTGCTCGACTATGTCATCCTACGTCAGCGTGATATGCGTGAAGTGCGCATGCCACGCGTATTGCATGGAGCTGAGTGTGGCACTGCTCACAAATTGGTGAGGACCAAACTGTACATATACTTATGTAAATCTATGTATTGCACTCCCGCCGTGAACCGGCATAAAGTTAACATTCTCCCTCCGTACTGTGGCGAAA